CATTGATTATTTTAATAATCGATTAGTTGTCGATTAATCGATTAATCGTAGCAGCCCTAATCTGATGTATTGTTAAACAGCGTCGACGGCTATTCAGGCCATTTCTCAGCTGCCTGACCAGTATGAAAGGATGTACCGWGCTATCAGCACTCAGACTCGAGCCCTGTGTGAGCTGAGACACAGTCTGCAAGTGTCTTCTGCTGAGGGTCGCGGGCTGGCTGCGGTCCCTGGAACTCGCTGACGAGATGGAATCGATCTTGGAGAAGTTGATAGCTCAGCTCAGTGGGAATGCCCACACCGATTTGTCTCATTGGATTCTCCACCTTGGGTTGTACCAGTGACATTAAAGCAGAAGAAAAATATTGTCCGCCTGATCTAAAACATTTTCTTGCTATCTGCATTTGGCTCCATGATTCAGCCTTGGTGTGCTGATTATCTTAAATTCGCCCTGATGGTATGCAAACGATGCTCCTCATCCACCCCTATCAACACCTGCGACTTTGACTTAGACTCAGTGCCGACTGATGAACTTTATTCCATCTATCAGGAAAATGGCTGTGGTGCACAGGCTTACATTACATTGCACACATGTACACACACACACACACACACACTTCACAAAGACCACCCATCCCCTGCACTACACCTTCTCCACCGGCAAATGTGTTTTTTTTGTGTTTCCCACTCTGTTAAACAGGTCTTCCTCTCTGTATTCTGTATGTTTGTATGTTATAGGTTTGTTTGTTGTAACTGATAGTGCCGAAATTTGATTGCTTTCTGGGACTTATAAAGCAAATGTTAGTATATTATATTATAATATAACATACTTCCACTAGGGCAGGTGCTGATTTGTGTTTAAGACATTAAATTTGATTGTGTGCTTGTAGACAATCCAGATTAAAAACAGAATGTGTTAAAGTCAAGGAAGTTGTTGTACAACCTGTCCCATAAAGACCCACAGTGATGGACTTTCTGTAGTATAAAACGTAAAATCTTATTATATGCATTTTTCTAGCCAGTAATCTTTAGTGAGATAAGAAAACAGTTCCCATTAAAAATGAGACTGAATAGAACCATTGAGTGTAAGATTTGAAGAAACATGCTAATGTGTCTACAAAAGTATTTTATAGAACTTTACAACTTTAAACCAGCAGAGCAGCTTGGAAGGTTGCAGTTTGATCTCTTTATCATGGAAAATTTCGACAACACCATGCATGTGAATTTCTTTCAGGTCCATGTTTGTATGATTAAAGACGTAGAAAACGTTGGTCCTTCATCAGCCTTTGATATGAGAYGCTTTCCTGTAAAACCACTGTGACTTTGTTTTGTTCATATCTTCTCATTTTCTGATCCACTTCCAGCTTCAAGRGTACATTTCTCTCTTCCCATATCAACATCATATTGTGCTCATGTGCAGGCTTATCTGTGCATCTGTTTGACAACATTGTTTTCTCTCTCCCTCCTCTTCCCTCCACTCATTTGTTGTTGAACTCCTCAGTTTGACCTCCAAGTCCTTTCTTCAATGTCCTACTGGCTGCTTAAGTATTCTGCAAACAGCAGCATGTGTTATTGCTTCCTCTTACTTTGAGAGACTGCAGAAATTTTCCATGGATCAGGTCTCTGCAAAGCTGCTCAGCTCTGACAGACTGTTGATGAATCAGCCATGGTCTCCACAGTATGGAAGTTCTCTGCTCATCTCCCTGATCCTTGTCGGTGTTGGATGAGTTAGTCTTTGTGTATTGTCCACACAAATGGGTTTTGTGGGCCAAAATGTCTTGCAAAACTGGAATTATACCACTGGAACATTTTAACTGGAACTTGATGTGTTTTTGTTTTAGGTATGCAAGTTATCTATTAATGTTGCATATCTTCTTAATAAATCTGACACATGGTAATTATTCAGCAGTTAACTGACTCCTGATGTCTGTTTGTTCTGCCTTTTCCTTCTTTGTTTTGGTTGCTGAATTGTATATTTTATTTTAAAACATTGTTCGGCTGAAAAATACTTTGTGTGAACATTACAAAAAAAATCCCCCGTCCTTAATTTAACTATCTATTGTTCTTTCCTCCTCCGTTCTTTGTCCAGGTGTTCAAGGTGAAAGCGGTCCAACTGGCAGAGAAACTGCTTCCTGCCTTTAACACCCCCACTGGGATCCCCTGGGCCATGGTCAACCTTAAAAGGTTAGTGACACTGCAAGTGAACACCACTTTCAGCAGCACTAAAATACAAGCAAAAACTTAACTTCAGTTATTTTCTAATTGGAGACACAAAATTTTCATAAAATATGCAAACTTCCACTTGAAATTCCATTAATTGATATTTAAGACTCATTTTATTATGAACCTGCATCTATTTTACAGACCTTTGATCCAGTTTTTGCAACTACTTTAATAAACTCAAAGCTTTTAATAAAACTAAAAACCTTGACTTATGCTTTTACCAAAAACTAACAATTACTGATAGCATCACAAAGACTTTAATTCACTTTTTTTTCCTGTTTCAAACAATGCATAAAATGACAGGTCAGAATAGGGTTGGGTACCGAAACTTGGTTCCAGTATGGCACCGGGGTGAACATCAACGGTAGTACACCGACCGAAATACAACTCTAACTTCGGTGCCTTATTTCGGTGCCTCAAAGAAAGCTGTTAATTTGCGTTCTTTGGTGTTCACTGTTAACAGTCACACAATCTCCACGGATGCTCTTGTATGCGGTTTGACTCGGCCCAATGCTTCTCTCCAAGCGCTCTCCACAGCCGCGCTGTCTCAGAACCTCCTCTCCAGTGGTTCGGGTAGAAGCGAGTACAGCACACTTATGGTGCGTTCACACCGAACGCGATTTCAGCGTCAAAATCGCAGCCAACGCTGAAGTTTGAAGCTTGTGCACTTTGAGGTCAGACGCAGGACAGCTGCGCTGCACAGCGACAGCCGCCCCGCCCCTCCCTCCTCTGTGGGGCTGTTTAATGTCGGACGAGGAAGTGGCTTTGCTTTATTTACAGAGAGCCAGAGCGTGTCACGTTCATCAGATAATTAATTCATAATTAATTCACCAGATAATTCAGAGTAGAGGCTCACAGCTCGCTTTCAGGACTATTTTTTTCAGTCTGATGAGTCGCTGCCACGCATTGCTGCGGATCAGGACACGACTGCAGCACTCATTTCAGCTAAAGAGCAGGAGCTCTGTCTGTTTCAGGTTAGTGGACATCATTCAGTAAACTGTCCCGTCGGGAAATATGTCACTACGTCACACAGTGGAGTCTCTGATTGGTTGACGCTGCGCGTCGAGCTGCAAAAGTTCAGATTTTCTAACTTCAGCGATTTGCGCCTCAGCGCGTCGAACGCTCAGATCGTTCAAATCGTTCAAATCGCACTGCTCTAATCGCGCTTGAGGCGCCGCAGAACTTCCCGACGTTGCTTGAAGCGCGTCCACCATAGACTTTGTATGTAAACCTGCTGCTCCTGACGCTGAAATCGCGTTCGGTGTGAACGCACCATTACAGTTTTAACGTCAGCAGAATTCTGCCCGTGGATTAACTCTTGTATTGACTGACAGCAAATTTCCTCATGGAGAGAGCTTCTTTTGTTTAGGAATATGAGTGCGCGGCGCGATACGACGACATGGTGAAATAAAACTGTCTTTTTGGGAAAGGCAGAACTTGTAAACACGTCATGGAGAGAGGTGAAGGAGACAAAGCTGAGCAGATCACGGGAGGTTTCCAGCAAACTGGCCGCCCACGGTTACACAAGCACTTAGCTATAAATTGCATCGTGATAAATAAATAAATAAATAAATAAATAAATACAGTAAATAAATAAACAAATACTTGTGCAATACTTGAAGAGGTAAGGAACATGCTATGCAAGCTTGTTTGTAATGTTTTCTGACAAGAATAATGTTACAAAACATGTAAATGGTCTGTACTTATTTAGCATATCCAGCTAGGATACTTAAAGCACTTTACACTACATTCTGTGTCCTAATTTACCAACCCACACAGCACTCTATTAAGTCTCTACACAAAGCTAACCCATACCAATCATTCTATGGAGAATAAATCAGTGCTATAATCACATTCACACTTAGTGGGACACACATCAGAGGCAGTGGAGGTTCAGTGTATTACCCAGGGACCCTTTGACAAGTGACTGAATAGCAGCGGAATCGAACTGCCAACTGTCATGTTGGAGAACAACCTCCCTAACCACTCAAACACAGCTGCCAGCAGAAAAGCCCAAAAACACAACCTCTTTAAACTTTCAATTTTTGTACTGCAAGATTTTTATTTACAACTGTACTCCTGTCTCTTGCTACATCCACAATTACAAGCAAAAAAAATCTCCCTGTAGGCCTGAAATGCATCTTGGCATAGGGTGAGCTTAGAAGGATACACCAGAGCCGTCTCTCAAATCGGTAAGCGGTTTGCCACCAACGCTATTCATGGTGGGGATCGTGCGCTGCTGACCTCAACTCTGGACATTGCGGGTCGGTGGGTGGAATACTTCGAAGACCTCCTCAATCCTACCGACACATCTTCCCATGAGGAAGCAGAGTCTGAGGACCCTGGGTCAGACTCTCCAATCTCTGGTGCCGAGGTCACTGAGGTGGTTAAAAAGCTCCTCGGTGGCAGGGCGCCAAGGGTGGGTGAGATTCACCCAGAGTTCCTTAAGGCTCTGGATGTTGTGGGGTTGCATTGGTTGACGCGACTCTACGATATCGCGTGGACATCGGGGGCAGTTCCCCTGGATTGGCAGACCGGGGTCGTGGTCCCCCTATTTAAAAAGGGGGACCGCAAAGTTTATTCCAACTGCAAGGGGATAACACTTCTGAGCCTCCCTGGTAAGGTCTATTCAGGGGTCCTGGAGAGGAGGGTTCGTCGGATAGTTGAATCTYGGATTCAGGAAAAGCAGTGTGGTTTTTGTCCTGGTCGTGGAACTGCGGACCTGCTCTACACCCTCAGCAGGGTCCTGGAGGGTGCGCCCAACCAGTCTACATGTGTTTTGTGGACTTGAAGAAGGCGTTTGACCGTGTCCCTCGGGGACTCCTGTGGGGGGGTTCTCGGGGAGTATGGGGTACCAGGCCCATTGATACGGGCTGTTAGGTCCCTGTATGACCGGTGCCAGAGCTTGGTCCGCATTGCCGGTAGTAAGTTGGACTTGTTTCCAGTGAGAGTTGGACTCCGCCAAGGTTACCCTTTGACACCGATTCTGTTCATAACTTTTATGGACAGAATTTCTAGGTGCAGCCAAGGTGTTAAGGGGATCCATTTTGGTGATTTAGGATCACATCTCTGCTYTTTGCAGATGATGTGGTCCTATTGGCTTCATCAGATCATGATCTCCAGCTCTCACYGGAGCGGTTCACAGCCGGGTGTGAAGCGGCCAGGATGAGGATCAGTTCCTCCAAATCCAAGACTATGGTCTTGAGCTGGAAAACAGTAGGGTGCTGTAGCGGTCTGTCGTGGTGAATTGAGAGCTGAGCCAGAAGGCGAAGCTCTCGATTCACCAGTGGGTGTAAGTTCCTACCCTCATCTATGATCACGAACTTTGGGTAGTGACCGAAAGAACGAGATTGCGGATACAAGCTGCCGAAATGAGTTTCCATCACAGGGTGCCTGGGCTCTCCCTTAGAGATAGGGTGAGAAGCTCAGTCATCCGGGAGGGACTCGGAGTAGAGCCGCTGCTCCTCCACATCGAGAAGAGCCAGTTGAGGTGGCTCGGGCATCTGGTTAGGATGCCTCCTGGACGCCTCCATGGTGAGGTGTTCCTGGCACGTCCCACTGGGAGGAGGCCCAGAGGAAGACCCAGAGGAAGACCCAGGACACGCTGGTGGGACCATGTTTCTCGGCTGGCCTGGGAACGCCTTGGGATTTCCCCAGATGAGCTGCCCCAAGTGGCTGGAGAGAGAGAAGTCTGGGTCTCTGTGCTTAGGCTGCTGCCCCCTGCCCCCACGACCCAAACCCAGATAAGCGGAAAAAAAACAGATGGACGGATGGACTTTTTTTTTTCTGAGGAAAATATTTAGTGTAAATTTGTTAATATAAAAAGAAATGACAAAGAAATGTTCATTACTGCAAATACGTAATTTGAGGCCTCAAAAAGTTAAATTCGAGTTTTTTACCGCTCATTATTTATGTTTAGATTTTTGTTTCATTTCTCTGTCTGACCATCTCAGGCCTCATTCTTCCCTCTCTTAAGCAATGAGGTACTTGAACTCCTCCACTTGAGGCAGCACCTCACCCCCAGAGACAAAAGTTTCTTTTTAAAATCAGTGTTTGGGGACTTCCACATCAGTTGTTGTGTGAAATGAAATCCTATTAGTAAAACTCGACCAAAAACCTTTACAGTTGTTACATTTGTTTATTAAATTGTTTTGAATTCAGTGAAATGAACTGATGTCAGATCATAATGGTGCATTAATAAAAGCACCAACATGACTACAGTCCACCCACTCAGGCGTTTCACTTTCTTTACCTGATTAGACCTCTTCATGGAGCTCTGTGGGTGTGTAAAAACTGCACAGAATATTGTACACTTTCTTCGTTGTTTATTATTTCCCAAGTGCACTCGAATGTCAGGCTGAAAGACTTGATTTTAATCACAAACTGCCTTATTTTTTTAAAGCGTCAGAAGTGTTAAACTGTACATTTAGAAACCTCTGTTCACCCTGTGAGTATGGAACTTCTGGCCTCGCTTCTCTGATGTGTTACATTATTATAATGCTTTCTCTGCTTTCAGACCCTCTCAGCTGCTGCTACTGCTTTTTATTCTTTTTGTTAGATTTTGAGAACAGAAATTTTCTCTATGTACACGTTCTTTTATTCCAAACTGCCTTTTTTTGTGACATCAGACAGGACCTTAAAAGAAAGTATTTTTAAATTTACATGGGTAATTTTTGCGAAGCACCAACATCTGTGTGAGAGATCTTTATCCTGATATGGTGTTGAGGCTATAAGTAGTTCAAAATAGGCTGTTTTTTCCTAAGAAATTTTCATTTCTATAAAAATCTATATATGTGTTTCAGCTTTTAATCCCATCAGACAAACAAGCACTGTTCATTGTTTACATGAATAATGGCCTGCTTTCGATGGTTAGGTGTTTAATGCGTTTAATGCTTTTTTTTGCATGCACATTCAGACCACACAGCAGGAGTCAGTGGCAGTAAAATGACCTTAACAGAAAATTACTTCAGTAAAAATGTATTTCACTGATATGAAAAGTATTTAAGTAAAAGTCATAAAACTGCTCACAATAATCAGGAAATTAAAAGTTGTTTTACACACTCTAAGAAATGAAGTGTTGAGTTTACCTAAACAAACTGGTTCCACTAAAACAAGTTGAGTAAATTGCTTTACATTTGCTCAGCTCGTTTTAGTGGAACCAGTTGACAACTTGGTTAAGTAAATTCAACACTTCAACATTTTTTAGAGTGCATAAACTACTCTTTCATCATGAGTTCTGGTCATATTTAAATTAGCAACATGTAAGTAGGTGTTAAATTTTGAAGTACAGAAGTAAAAGTGTGCTTTTTGTGTTTTGAATGTAACTAAATAAAAGGAAAAGGCTACTTAAGTACTGTAAAGAAGTAAATGGACTTAGTTACTATATACTTCTGGTCAGTTGTCACTTGGAGACAACACCCCATGCTTGTTGCCATATTTGTATACAAGGTGATATCCAGGTAAGACTGTTTCTCTCAGTTAATTGATTGTAGGCTTTAAAAACTGTAAATTTTGGTCCAGAAAAGGATTGACAAAATCAGAACATAGTTCATATGAAGGTAAAAAAGTTGTCCAGTTACATTTTTTTGGGCTGTCCAAGCAATAATCACAAAATGTTTTCTTTTGTTCCTTAGTTCTAATACTTCATTTGTTGTTTTTTGTACATTACGTTTTTTAGGTTTGAGGTGCTATCAGTACTGAGAATTTAACAATGATGTGTGTGGCTACAGTTTTTGGTAATGTTTGTGAGACTGTTTTAACATGACACTTGCCATTTGGAAGAACGTAGCATGTAAAAACTTTTACCTATAGAATTTCTATTTTGGTTTATTTTTTCATGTTCTGTTTGTTTGTTCTTTTTGCCACTTCTTTCTTCACCTGTCCATCCATCTCCAGTGGTGTTGGTCGTAACTGGGGTTGGGCATCGGCAGGCAGCAGCATCTTGGCTGAGTTTGGGACTCTCCACATGGAGTTTGTTCACCTCACCTACCTGACAGGAAACCCTGTGTACTACCAGAAGGTATCGCTGTGAAGCTCTTTATATCTTTGTGTCTTAACTCCAAACATTAGTTCATACAGCATGTTTTAAATCTGCTGCTTCGTATATTTTTCATGTTTCTATCAATTAACGCAAACTTGTTTCAAACTATTTTACAGAACCCACCCTGAATATGAATGAATGCAATAAAAATAAAAATTGATTTCTTTATTTTTTTAAAATAAGGARTCCAAGACAGAGCTGATTTTTATAAAAAGGTTTTCTTAAAGGTTAACGTTTTTCTTTTTTGATTAAAACTCCTGTGGCTGGTCTTTGTCTCAGGTCATGCACATCCGGAAGCTGCTTGCCAAAATGGACCGACCCAACGGGCTCTACCCAAACTACCTGAATCCTCGCACGGGCCGCTGGGGTCAACGTAAGTGCATGACGGTTTAAACACAGAGGACAAAAGACATTTTAGGAATTGTTTTTGAACACTGTAATTTCTGAGGCTCAGGGATGCTCCACCAGTTAGTTGGAAAAGTATTAAGATGTTCCTGTGAGGCTTAAGAGATCAATCACTCTGAAGTGTGATGAAGATAAGGAAAGAGATTAACACCATGTGAAGAAAAGATTACTGGAAGTACAATGGATTTCGGTTAATAAGAACAAATTGAAGAGGGTTAATGGGGGAAGTGGTGTTCTTGCTGAATTGATGACATTTGCCGGTTTGCCCAGAGGAATTACCAGCTCTCAGAGTGAAGTAACTCAGGCAGTGACACAAAATGTCTTCCATGAAACTTTTCATTTCTAGTTAACAGTTTGTGGCTATGCTGTTTCATAATTAAAGTCCAACACCCACCATGTTTTCCAATTGCATATCCAGCAAAACATGATAGACAAAAAAAACCCACAGATATGTTTCACTGAAACTCTTTAAAAATAAAGCTAAATTGTTTTTTAAATGATTTTTAGTGAGTTTTCAAACTCCATTCCATATATGGCCAATGGTAAATGGACTGTACTTATTTAGTGCTTTTCTATCCATCTAGGATACTCAAAGCTCTTCACACTACCATCTGTGTCCTCATTTACCCATTCACACAGCACTCTATTAGGTCTCTACAAAGCTAACATACAATCAGCTATGGAGACTAATCAGTGCCAATCACATTCATACACTGATGGGACACACATCAGAAGCATTAGGGGTGAAGTGTCTTGCCCGAGGACACAACTGAGACAGCTGGACGGGGGATCGAACTGTGGCTACCTTCCAGTTCTTCTGGTTCTGTGTCCTGTGCAGTTGATTGTAGTTAGAATGACTGAAATATACCTCAGACTTTTCAGCTTCAGGCCCACAAAAGAACTTTACCTGTTAATGACTTTCAGGTAAAGGAGCTTGGTATTGTTTGGCTTCTTTAGTGTGAAGATGTGTGCTTTCCTCTATAGTTTTTATCACTATAATTTAAACAACATTTAATCATTTCAGTCCAAATGTTTGCCTCTGGGCTGTCAGGAGGGCTTCATGACTTTAAATTGCCTGTGACATGCCCATCCATCGAATACAAAAAATCAAAGAAAACACATCTTTATAAAAGAAACCTTGCATAAAACATGTGATTTTATCCATTTTGTCACATAAGTGGCATATTTTCTTTTGATTTTGGCTCAACCAAACTGAAACAGGAAGTGACATCAAAGGGGAACTTTTTAAGAAAACTCTGGTCTTTGTTCATTGAAACAATATTATTTGAACTCTGACTCAYCTTCATCTCTCTCTGACAGTGACTCAAAATGATCTAAAGAAACATCAGATTCTTCTCTACAGACTGTGTCGTTAGCTATTTTATCAATGCTTTTTTCCATGCAGACATTCCCCTTTGACATCACTTCCTGTTACTTCACATGTAAATATCTCAACCACTGTTCTTCTCAGCAGCGGGAAATTATTTTTGCAATATGTTAACATTGTTATCTTTCCAATAATGCCTTTTATATTTATTTTAAAAAGTTCATGTCACAGGCACTTTAAGACTTACTTGTATTTGAATATGTTGATGACTATTAGACATGGACATTTTGAATATTTAAAGAGTCGTTCAAATATACAAATCTGAATAATTAATACAATGTAGCAGATGTCTATTTTTCACAGCACCTGGTTGTAATGCCATCATTTCTATCCTCAGTCATTACAACACTTGTGATGCAGTACTCGTTTTCACTTACAGCACCATGTTGGCCAATATCAACACATCAGCCACGAGCATTCAGGGCACTGAGGGTCCAGTCAGTTGCCAAATACAAAATTGACATGCAGTGTGCGTCTGTGATTTATTGAAATTTTTTGTAATATTCATATTGCAGTGGTAAGTTTTTGATTTATCACACATCTCGAGATGTCAGCTGCTTTCTACTCAACTTTGCTGTGCACACAGCTGCTTTGTTGACATAGGTTCACGTGGCATGCGTTTGGAAAACCAAGTCTGATTAAACTGACACAAAGGATTCTGAAATGCAATCACTACAGTGATGGTAATTATCACCAACAGCAATTAAATAAAATAGCTAAATCAAGGCAACTCATCAGTGAAGCCTCATAGTAATCCGCTCATCAGTGTAGTACCAACAAACAGTCTTGTTCTAATGGGAACAGTCTAGACCAGAAGTTTCCACCTCCCATGCAGGCATGTGCACACAGAATAATTCACTGAATTACAGATAATATCCCTTTCTAGAAAAATGATCAGACAGTGTTGGACATGACAGTCAGAATAGGATGTCTGTAGCAGATTGTTACAGGCTTCTGGCATGTCTATGTAGTTTTGAAACATTTGGAAAAGCTTAGAATTATGTTTTTTCATTTTTTAGTTATAGATCATATGGAAAACAAATAAGCAGTCTGGAGAAACCGGCATCTTCAGATTTTATTCTGAAAGAATGCTCAGACTGGAAAAGGATCATAAGATTTTGGCCATTGGTATTGTTTTGACTTTCTGATTGAGTGTAAATTAAAAATCTTAGATGTATACACCTAAACATTTTGGACAATAATGGAGGAAAGAAATTAAACCCAATGACATTCAAAAAGCACAATTTCAAACTAACAAATATTTTATCAGGAGTTTACAGTCTGTAGCCCAGGAACGTATCATTCATATATATATATATATATATAAGCTTATTTATTGTCTGAGCCTAAAGAAGTCTGAGTAAATATTTGTTTCTTTTTTTAATGTTTTTCTTTAAGTAAAACTAAAATTTTATGAAGCATTCCCTTTTGCTCTGATTGTTTTTTGACAAATATGTTGAAATGTACTAATTTTCAAACAACTGTAAATTCCAAAGGGACAGTTGAGCAGAAATAATTTTTAGTTACATTTAACTTTCATATTTTAAATATAATTAGGGTGACTTTCAAATGTTTAGGAGAGGAATTCAGAGCTTCACAATGAGACACGAAATCAGATTTTTTGTGTGTTTGTTCTGTTTGTAATTCAAGTTTTCATTGTGGGGAGTTCAAAATATTTTGAACGTGAGATGAAATTTAACAGTGACTCAGAAATTATTTATGTTTATTTATTTGGACCAGGGGTCTCCAACCAGTAGCTCATTTAAAGTAGCTCTTTATTGCTTGTGAAAAATAAGGTGCAGCAAAATTTGATTTGTCACTAGCCAAAAATGAAGCAACATGCAGCATTTGTGGGACTGTTTGTTCATGCAGAAAGCGCTCAGACGCTGCATTTTGTTTCAACCACTCAGAGAATAAAAAAAAGCAACTCGCTTCCAGAGCCGTCTGCAGGAAGCATCGATTTATAAAGATAGTCAAATTGCCAAAAATCATGGATGGAGATAAAACAGGCATTGTGCAGGGAGGAATCTAACTGACAAAAACTTTGAAACTTTAACCGGGACAGATTTGTGGATAAACAACATCGGGTGAYGGATCAYTGACTTTTTTTCRCATTGAAGACTACAGCRGGAGCAGAGCGGGAGGAAACCCSMGTAGTGYATGCTGCAGCRGGAGGGGGTTTCCCAGGAGCTCAACACATAAAGGTGTGTGTGAAAACGTCTCAGCATTTCTGGATCTTAGTAGACCCAAATAACTACAAAAACCTTCTTCAAGCASCTCTGAAAATGTCTGCACTTTTTGGGTCTATATGTCTCTGTGAGTTTTCAGACATGAATGTCCTAAAATCAAAGTTCAGAACAAGAATGACAGATGMACATTTAAATGACTCAATAAGGGTGAACCTAAGTGGATACACTTCATCATTCAGCTCTCTTGTTGATTCCATGCGGTACCAGTCATCTCACTAAGTAAAAATGAAAAAGCACTGAGAAAAACAAACAGGAAACCACACATAAGTGTGTGCAAAAACTGGATGACAAGTGAAGATGAAATATTTTGCACCTAAGATTACATTGTTTTGAAGGTTTTAACTTTAATGTCTTAACATTGAAAGTTCTTAGTACTGACTGAACTAAATTTCCCCTTGTGAGAAAAATACGTTATGTTGAACCYTAAGWTAGGAGTGTRAAATACACTATAATATAAATGGMGAAACGTGAAACATTCATGTAAATTCAGTGTTAATTGTGAGRATTTCATGTGAATTGAAGTGTTTTTAATGTATGTTCAAGCAAAACAAGCGTTTCCTAATGTTTTGAGTTAAAGTTTRAAATTRAATTTTRCAAAAAGTAGCTCTTGGACAATTTCATTTTGTGAAAGTAGCTCTYAATGAAAAACAGGTTGGAGACCCCGTAGACTGATTATCTTAACATTCCCCCAGTATATTAGAACATGGTGGATAATTAAATTTTATTTTCTGTTTGAGTGCTACCCCTGAATAGACTTATTTTATTGGAGTGCAGTTGATCAGATACTCTCTGTCAGGGATTTGATGCTCGGTTCAGAGAGCGGAAATGAAAAGATGAAATCTGTTTAAAATTGAATATAGTGTATCTTTATGTGTGCATTGGGAGTAAGTTACCCTGGTAGGAGTGTGCTATGTGAAACCTAATCAGTTCCACAACACCCCCGAGTAAATGGGGGAAGTGGTAAATAGATTTTCGATGGTTTGAGGGGTCCGGATGGATTTTGTTTGTTTTTACTTTTCAGCAAAACAAATGGAGAACATTRATGGCTCTTTATAAATGGAGGGGCTCATTAATAGATGGATTGGTGGCTTGGCAGTCTGACGGATGAGTTTGTGAGTTCGGAGGGAAAAATAAATGGACAGAAGATGGAGAGATGGCATATARAAAGATGGATGAGCTCATAAATGGATGAGTTAGCTGGCGAGCTGTGTGACAAGGCAGGTGCTGACAGATGCTTTGTGTTTGTGTGTGAACTGTTTACAGGCCTTCCCGTGCACGTGCAACATGAACATGTCTGTCAGTGTGKTGTCTGTTTGTGTGACCAAATCAGCA